GAGAAGTCGAATACGAGATCTTTGAGATACTACACAACCATCATACGGAATCACATTCAAATTATTTTATTGCGATGCTAATAATCATTCAGAGCTTTCGTGGCGTTCTGCAAAGGCCTTATTTGCACTAAGAAAAATATTTTAATTAAATTAACATAAAGGCCCAGCAAGAATGATATTTTTTAAATTTAATCAGAACATTTTTCTCAATGTGACATTACAAAAAAAATGTGATGAATAATAGGCCGAGTGAATATTTATAGTCGATTGTTTCTATTTTAAGATCATACGATCCTTAGAATCAATTCGATTATTAAAGTTCATTATTATTGCGCATTAATTATCCCGCGACAACCTCCTATTTCCCCTAACTTTCTTTAATTTATTTCAAGACTATTTTAAATATAATGTCTTAAGATATAAATCTGTTCATTATGATATCTTAAGGCTGTAAGATATTTTTCTTACTAAACTTACTTAAATATAAGAATATGACTATGCATATTAGTCACTCCTGTTTTTTTGAAGAATTACTTTCGAATGCTTTCAATCGAGGTATAGATAAAAGTAAAATTGCCCCAAAACTTCCTGATCAATTAATTACACACTGAGAAAAATTTGTAATTGAAAGTGGACGAATTAGAAAATTCTGATCATATCAATTAGAATTTTGATTATCTCAAGTAGAATCATATATAATAGATTCAACAGACAAATTTTGATTTATCTATTTTCAACCAGAATTTCAATTAACGCAAACTCTTCTTCAGTGCAGTTTATTCGCAATGTTTGACGTGCGATTTTCAAGGAGTCCTTATTCGTTAGCGTCGTTGCGCTCATCTCTGCAGAAAACTATGTCTCGTGTCGCGCATTTACATTCTCGAGCATATTAGAAATGGCATGGGGTAAAAGCACGGAATGCTCCCACGTCGGGAAAGAGAGACCGCGGTTCATTGACCTGCGACCACGTGGAATAGCACGTGCATTCGCAAGAGATTTCGCGCGCAGCGAACGATCGTTAAATGACTATCGTCTGGCTTGGCTCGCGCGTTGGGAGCAAAGAACTATTAATGCGACCGATGAACGTTAGAAATTTTTCAAGTTTCTTGCGCCACCAGGCATTCGCCTGGCCTAATCGCGCTCGTTAGACAAGTCACGTGCTGCATACGCCACACTAAATTCACCCTGTATAATGATTCCGACGATAGTACGACAATGATGACGTGCTGCGTAGTATCCTTGAGCTAATACACTCATTTGCGTTGTTATCTGTGCGAATATTTCGATCTTTGTTTTCTCATGATTCTTTCGTGGTTATACACCTCCGCTCTCGTTTCGCAGCATTCGACGGAAAATAGATCTATAATATTGACGTAAGTATGATGAATTTCAGTAATCATCGAAAATATGAAATGTTTATTAATAGAGGAATCTTTAGATATTTTGAAATTTGAAATGAATCTTAATAAGGAAATAAATACCTATCTATTATATAATTATCTATTATATAAAGGAAACAAAATTTTAATATTTTATCTTTTATCTTCCATTACCATTGAAATTTTATTTGGCAAACTGCGAAAGAAAAATAAATGATTCTTAAAGAAATAAGTTATTTTAATTTTAAAATATATTGTAATATATTACGTGTAATTAATGTATAAAAAAAAATTTTTTTCTTTTAAATATAAAAGAAATCTGACTGCTAAACGTAAATACATCGAATGTCATCAAGAAGATACTCGTTTTAAAAAAATCGGAAAAATGCGATATTTAAAAAATTGTTTTCTGTAAAAGACACACATTTTATATTTTAAGGATTCTTGTACGTTTTATTTTTACCAAATTGTAAATTAGGACGTCTTCAAAATCAATATCAAAAAAAGAGATTAGAAGCTCATGAAGCAGGTAGAATTCGGTGCTACGGTCGCACATGGTTGTCGTGTTGGAAAGAGTCTGATTATATTAATTGGAATTCTAATTGAAAATCAGAATTTTTTGGACAAGTTAGAATTTTCTGTTTAATCTACTATAATTCTAGTTGAGATTAGAATTTTGATATGATCTAATTGAGATCTAATTAAGAATTAATAGAATCTTCTAGTTTCGTCTTTCAAATAGTGCCACACAGTGCCTTATACAAAGCGTTAACAAAGCGCTAAATAAATATGTAGACGCTGCTGTGCTACTTGACTTCATTTTTAACCCGAAATTTTTCTCAGATGTACAAATTTTTTTCTCTTCACATTATCTACACATTTTTCTTTCTACTTTTCTGTAAAAGATTAGGTTTTTGTAGAAAACAATTTTCTGGTCAAACTAAGAAAACAACCTCCGGAAATAGAATATGAGATATATATACCCAATAGACATTTCCAAAAAAGAATGATTTAGAAAAACAAGTTGAAAAGAAACCGGGGACCGAAATAATCGATCATAGAATGAGAGTTTCCCATAACAACCATGAAAGTCATTCTGTTCTTGCGGTTTCAAAAAGTCCGGTTAGAATTTGGGCTACGGAGGAGCTCGAATCTGGAACGCTTCGGTCATTGGCCTTGTCTTCGATTTTCTACCTGCGAGATTTTCGGGTACGACTCTGCATACATGGCATTTTGTATATCCGCATATTAAAACGGAGCTTTTATCTAATGAACGTCTAGACCGGTTCGCGAGTCGATTCTGCAGACGCTCGCGAATCACGCGACAATTTTGTCTAAAGACGAGTCTCGGACCCGTAGAATGTGTGTGGAAAGAAAAGACGTAAAAACGGCGTTCGCTTTAGAAATGTACGAGCCCAAGTACATTGAAAAAATGTATTAAATTTTAATAATTTATTTATTTATTATAAATAACACTAAACTAAAAATGAAGATATATATATATATTAGGTGTTGGAATTAATTCGTAGCGTTTTTAATGAAAGAATGTTATTTATTTCACATGAGCATTAAAAAATACATTAATGAAAGTACTTCCCATCACTTGTAAAACGCTACGAATTAATTCCAACACCTAATATATATATATATATATATGTTACGAGAAACATTACTTTGATTTAACTATCATTTTCTTATTGAGTAAATATTTATTTACTGTAAATAAATATTTAGTTAATATTGTAGTATTTAAATAAAAATTTCGTATACTTTTTCTCAATATTTCATTTGAAATTTTCGGTTACTGTAGTTCTTTTGTAGATATTTAGCATCATTTCTTGTTTATTTTCTTAAGTGAAGATAAATAAAATCTACATGAATTTTGTTAGAAGATGGTAACTAGTAAATTTGTCAATGTATAAACAAGTTATATTAAATAATATTGAAATGTTGAAAAAATTCAGAATTGTGTGAAAATTAGAAATAAGAGATTTAATAGATATCTGTACCTCGTATTCAGCTTTGTTTCCAATTCTAAATTATCTACTTTAATAGTATTCAACATCGTATTGTTAAATAAAAATCAGGTAAATTCCTTGAATTAAATGTACAGCATGTAGTATAAATGTATACTATAATAAATATTATTATAGTTCAAAAATTGATAAAGAAAATTGATATTATTTTGACAGTATCCTTCTTCAAACATAAAGTAATTTTTTTAATTAACGCTAACGATTGATCTGAATCAAAACTATTTACAGATATCATTGATTCATACAAATTTACATTTGTTCTTGTCAATTTACATTTTCGAATATTTATTTTCGCATAATTATCTACAAATGATTAGCACCATTTTGAGTATTGTTTCTTTTCACGTTAAAATAATGTTGTAATTCCCGTATTCTCTGTTTTTAATTCATAATATATCAGCTGTTATTAGCAATGTACATCTATGTATCGTTATTATTACTAATTTTTGCCGTTTTCGCCATTAACGCGTGCGGCCACAAAGTGCGGCCACTATCGTTAATTTCGTGCTGTTATAATTGCACGCCTTTTTTTCTCGCCTCGAATGTACCCGGGCCCGAGTGAAGACGGAGACTGCAGACGGGCCTCGGATACACGGTGAAGACGGAGGTGTCCGGAGGGAAAGGCACGGAATGATTCGGAGATAATATACCGATGTACTGAATTACGCGGCAGGCTACCGAATCATTTTGACCCACATCCATAGATCGTCGTCGCCTTGGGGCCGGAGATTCGATCAGGCGCCTTCTTCTCGACATTACTTTGTAGAATCTACCGTGTTGTTCGTTTTCAGAACGGTGATAAATCTGCCAAGCGAATTAAAGAAGAAAAATCATGCCATATTTTTTCATACTGATCGAAAATGGAGATATTTTATGTTTATATTTTATAACGGATGCATTATGTAAAGAACAAAGAATTAAAATTATAACTGAAGATTTTTGGATGTAAAACATAATTGAAAATAAGTATTTGCTTTTCTACATACTCTTGCAGATATTTTTTTTCTTTATAAATTATTGTAAAAGAATAGAGATGATTTATTAATATTAGGTGTTGGAATTAATTCGTAGCGTTTTACAAGTGATGGGAAGTACTTTCATTAATGTATTTTTTAATGCTCATGTGAAATAAATAACATTCTTTCATTAAAAAACGCTACGAATTAATTCCAACACCTAATAGTTTTATCTAATATTCAACTTATTACAGAATAGTACACGTACATTGCTTATAATGTGTATTTATTAAATCAACATACAGTAATGTTTTCTCTTGAAATATTAAGCTATCAAATTCTTGAATATATTTAACATTTTTAACTATAAATTAAATATATATTTAATTATATGTTTAAGAAATTTAATCATTAATAAGAGATTGAAAAATTATTAATCAAACTTCTTGGAAAAGTTTATTATCTATTCTTAAGTTTATTCTTTAAAAAAATTTTTAAATCAAAGTTTAATCACTAAATTATTTAATTAAAGAATGTGTAAACAAAAATTAAAATATATACATACATACATATATATATATATACATATGTGTGTGTGTGTGTGTGTGTGTGTGTGTGTGTGTGTGTGTGTATATACACATACACAAAAAGGTATTTTAAATTTCTTCCGTATATATCGAAATAATTTGGCAAGACTTAATTGTACTGGACTTGGTGGTAAGACTTACTTTGTATCTATTTTGTGTATCTAAGTAGCTTCCTTCCTTTATGTAAATATATTGTCTCAATGTACACCATAATAACATGTGATAATTCTACCGGAGCTTGAGACCCATTTTCTGATACTATTAGGTCGCAACAGTCAGTGGGAAGATAAGCTGCGCAATTTATATTCAGACTATGTTCGTGATTATAATTTGTATTTTCGACCTAAATAATTCTTAAAGTAACAAGTAACACAAAATATGACGATGATTATTAATGTCGCTGATCAGACACCAAAACTAACTACACTAATATTATAATAAAGAAATCAAATTAAAGAAAAGCCGAGATAAAACATCCTCATCCGTAATTGCACGCTTTTTACTTCACAAATCCCCCGAGATAAACTTTATTTTGTATTTGCATATCTAAAAAATTCCGCTAGTATGAGCGTGGTGGATAAGAATTTCGTATATAAATAAAGAAACGGCACCTTGTTGTGTCAGACTTTCAGTATTCTAATTCAAGACAAAAGCAGGCAATGGCTCCAATACGAATAATCTTATTGTTCGCAGTAATCAGCGTCAGTTCGGGACTACCAGCCAAAAGTCATCGTGGATCCCATGGCCATTCTATACCGCCTGACCCACGATTCAATGGAGTTTTCGATCATGATCACAATCATGAGAAAATTGGTAATTAATTTGACAGATTCGCAGCTATTCAAGATTTGAAATAAAAATTGATTTTATTTGAGACCGTTTTATTTTTAATAAGCATAATGATTGAAAAGCGCTTCGTTAAATCTTATTTTATATTTTTTCTCTTCCAGCTAATAACATAAAATCTTGGAGTCCGAATAATATACAAAATGTTTGGGAATTGAGCGGTTTATATGAAGGTGATATAATGATTCATCCAGATAGTCCAATGGATAGTCCATGGAAAAATGGTCTTTTAGACGCTACAGCACGATGGCCCGGCGGTGTCGTGCCTTATTTTATACAAGAAGATGATTTTGGTAATTCTTCGTCTTTCTCTGTATAATTGCGATAACAAAATAATATTGCTTTAAATATTTCTAATTAATATTATATCATCCATTACATTTAGATTCACGAGCGATTTTGCTAACGTTAATTAATTTTTACCTTAGATTATTTGCATCGTTATCTCTTTTCAAAAGTAGAACTAAAAAGAGTCAAAGAAATTCGTTTAAACTCAGATTAATGTTACTATGTTATTTGTGTTGTTATGTGTGTGTATCATTAATGACTTGTTATACTCTTAAAAATTTAGTTTTGATTCAGAAAATTTAATAGTTTCTAAAAATTCATTAACATTTATAGATCGCGATCAAATTAAATTGATAAAAGAAGCCATGCAGGAGTATCATGAAAGAACTTGCTTGCGTTTTCGACCTTACAAAGATACTGATGACGATTACGTGACAATACAAGCGAAAGATTCAGGATGCTGGTCCCTGGTGGGTCGTCACGGTCACGGACAAGTATTGAATCTACAGAATCCAGGATGCATTCATCATGGTGTTGTCGTGCACGAGCTCATGCATGCCTTAGGCTTTTACCATCAGCAGAGCGCCGCGAATCGAGACGAGTGGGTCACCATACATTGGGAGAACATCAAATTGGGTACGCACAATTAATAATGTTGACAATGTGTTTGTATTGTAATCAATTTATATTGATTTCTTATTTCTTCAATTATAAGATCATATATTTCTTAATAACTTCGATAATTTTTCATGTTTAAAATGGTCTTTGAAACTATTTATTGAACAATACTTGAACACTTCATATCAGAGTCAAAACGGTGTCAACTGAGATATTCTTAGGATGGATTGTATAACGCATGACTCTTATAACGCATAAATAAAATTTTAATGAACTTTTGCAGGTAAAGAGCATAACTTCAACAAATATGACAATCGCACTGTCACCGATTATGGTATCGGCTATGATTACAAGAGTATCATGCACTACAGCTCCCACGCATTCTCCAAGAATGGAGAACCTACTATTACGCCGAAGGTAATAATCGTGTGGCATTCGCAATATTCCTATTGATTTCAGTTTGTTCTCAACGTTTATGTTTATGCTTTTTCATAGAAAGAAAAGGTGCAACTTGGTCAGCGAGACGGACTCAGTAAAAAGGATGTGGCCAAAGTGCAAGCAATGTATAAAGAACAATGTGACGGTCGAAACAGTAGCCATTCTTCCGAATCTTCTGAAGAGATTTCTATAGAATGGCTATTTGATTAAATTCATATTTTTAAATAATTGGATTCTATAGTATAATAAAGTATGGATATATATGCATATATATATATATATATATATAAAATACATTTTCATATTTTTAGATTAAAATACATTTATTATTTTATCAATGAATTTATAAAAATATCACACATATTTTATTTCTTAAATACAATTAAATGTAATTATCAGTCTGTTAAAAAATAAAGTATTTAATTTTGCGGCATTATAAGATTTTTATCAAACAACAATAGCAAAATTGGTCCCTAACAATCTGCTTATTCCATCTTAAGGCACTAAATCGACAAGGTTTTTTCTAATTATAATACGTTAATTGTTTCAATTCATTTACAGCTTCCTCCGCTGCCTAAAAATATATAAATAATATTTATTACGCATTATACAAAATATTGCGTAAAAATATATACTGTATTTGTGGTTGACTTACATGACGGACGTGTTCATCTTCATCCTCGATTAAGCCTTCCATGGCATCTCTTAATGACTTGTTCCAAGTCTGTTGTAACGCTCTACAGCAAAATCTACCCAGCAATCTGATCATAGTACACGTTCTTGCTCGTAAAACAGTTTGTCGATGATTGAGAAGCTTGTTGAGCTGCTCCACCGAAGCTCCTTCAAAAAACTTCAATGTAAATTCGTAATAAAAATTACGATAAAATGACGTAACATAGTTCACAAAATAATTTACTCACCGGGTGTTTTTGTACGCAGCACAACTTGTTCCACAAGCTCGGCATTTTCAGGTTGAGATCGTAGAACGTTATTTAAAATAGCAACAAGATCTGCAACGACTCTTGCTTTTCTTTTTTCTAAAGTTAATAATTGCTGTAAAAGTGGCATTCCACTCACGATGTAAATAGCGTCGCAAAATTGCATGAGAAATTGATTCTCGATATAAACCAATCTACAAAGAATTAGTATCGCACATTCGAGTGCTTGAAGTTCATCGGCGGATAAAGAAGATGCTGACCTCGTTCCCATGATCACTGTATTTGTCGCATTCAATTCATTATCGGACCGTTCCGACATTAATAGTTTTATGGCATAAACGAGATTTGGTACTACTCTCACATCTAAATAAACTTGTTCAATCTTCTTGAGATTCTCTTTACTAACTGACACGGTAAACGGCAATGATAATAAACAAGTTACATATTCGACAACTCTACAACCAGCCGCTGGATTTCTTAAAGGAGAAACGAACACCGAGACGCAATTTTGTTGCAATAATGAGTCAATCTCACCCTCCATAACTTCTTCCATTGATCTTTGTAAAAATGCAATCCATTCTTCGTTTTCAATTGGTCTTTCTACTGCCCTTGGATCCCAATCTGGCAATCTCGTGTGTTTTTCAGTCAATTTTCTCTCACCAAATTCTTGTTCATAATCAATGCTCAAGCAGCTTTTGCAATCACCATCGCCATGTACAATTTGATCTATGTGTGAAGATTTTTCGATTTGTTGACCTACATTGATTCCATCACCTTGAGCATTGGTGTGATACGTTTCCTTATTCAACTGTCGTACAGAATAATTATAATCCATTTGTGTTTGAACAGGTTTTGAGTAATCATCTTGTATTGAAAAATTGTGCTGCATGTCTACATTATGTGAATAGTCACTCTGACATAAAGCGTGATCTGCAGCTAAAAGATCACTTTTCAGAGACGCCCTAAGACTGAGATTTCCTAAGAGTACATCAATACTAGCGCTGGAATCAGTGCCACTTGGTTCACTGCGACGCAATGCTTGACAGTGATTTATCATATGATGACAATAAGCAGGAGGCATCAGATAACCCGGTTGTGAAATACATGTTCGTTGTCGATACTCATAATGTCTTCTCTCTTGCTCTTGTAATTTTTTCATTGCTTTCTTCACAACTCTACATGAAAAATGTTAATTAGGTGTGTGTGTGTGTGTGTGTGTGTGTGTGTGTGTGTGTGTGTGTGTGTGTACATTAAGGTGGCATTCTATTGTAACGGATAAATCGAATATTCTTTTTGCATTTTTTGCAAGTATATGTTATAAAAAATGTGTGCAAAAGGATTTACTCAACAAAACTTACAAAGTTACTGCGGCAGGAAGGGATAGATTAACGAGTGGGAAAAACGACGCACAATAGTCTCAGTAGATATATTTCGACAAAGATTCGTGTGACGTTATTTTAGAAAGAATAGGATCTTTCAAAATATAAAGAATCTTGACCTTAAGATATTTAGAAGCAGAATAATAATAAATCTTTAAATTCATCAATCTGGACTTTGTTCCAAAGCATATTCATTTAAGACCAAAACTTGTAGAATTTACCACTTTCTTAGTAGTAATAATATTTAATAAAGGCCTTTTGCTATTCTCCTAATGAGTATTATGGAAGCAATTATTAGACAGCAAGCAAAGATATACGTCCATTCACAAAACGATATTCGTAGCAGCTATTCGGAGCGACGCTCGAATGAGTTCGCTAAGCAAGAGTCAATCATAGGAAGGAAATAATAGTTTGAGCAAGAAGAGAGTCCCGTCTATGATCCTAGATTAATTGATTAATAGTGAGTGAAAATTTTCTCAGTGTAAACTGCATGCAAAATTCTGAACACGTGCAAATTTTTCTCAATATTGTATTTTTCAAACTGGCTTCCATGATATCTCAAAATCGATTTGACTAAGTGAGCCCATGAGAATGAACTTGTTATTTTCAACGCCTGTATTGCTATCGTCTCTGATTACATTACCATGATTACATTAAAATATCGTTTTTTTCTTTTATTTTTACTTTTTACAACCTTTCAAAGATATAAAAAATTTGTAAAATTTCATATCGAAACTTAATTTTTAAAGTGACGTCGTTTTTTTAGTTTTCAATATTTTTCTTTCATTCTGGTACTTATTATAGATAAAAAGACATATTAATTAACAATCATTTTGAATTTTTTGTTTCAGCCGAGCACAACTGGTTCAATCACGGATGCCATGAGCAAAGGTTTTTTTTTCATCGATCATTTTAAAGTAGTCTGATGATAATTTTCACTTCTTATATAAAAAATTCTTACATATTGTTTAGAGAAAAACCTGATATCAATGAATTTTATAGGTTCTTCATAAAAAATTCCGCAAAAAAAATTAATATCTATGTGTATTATAGTAGAGTATCCCTTTCAAAGAATAATTAAAATTAACACTATACTTGGATTGATTTGCAGCACGCATCGCTAAACTTTGTAATTGTTGCTGCTTTGCTCTTGCCTGACTCGCAGATAGCGGATTTGTGAATGGAGTAGGTACGGTGCCATCTACTATTACAATTCGATCCTTGACAAATGGATGTTGGAGAAGAGCGGGCCAAGTTAATCGTTGAGAAGGATCTTTCTGAAGTAAACCCTAAAATTGAAATAGTAACGACTTATTTAAAATTATAATAACAAACTATTGTATGATATTCACAATGTCTTTTCGCAAATTAATAAATATCTCTATGTGATAAATGTATAGATAAATGTATATATGCAATAATATATACAACAAATACCACACAATAAATATTTTTACCTGTAAAAAGCTTTTGCAAATTGAAGAAATGAAATCTGGCCACTTTATTTCTTCAAACCTAATCAATTTAATCAAATGCAAAATCGAGTAAGTTTGAAATGGAGGAGAACCTACCACCAATTCGTAAACTATACAACCTAAAGACCTGAAAGTAAACAATTAATTATAAGACTAATTAATTATACTTTCTACATAAATCATAAATAATAAACATTTAAAATATTTATGTGGCTTTATGTACACTTACCATAAATCAGCATTATGATCATAAGGGTATTCTTCTACAAGTTCTGGGGCCATGTATAATGGTGTGCCTTTTATTGAAGTAAGCACATGAGTACCAGTGCTCATACTACGAGCAAATCCAAAGTCACATAGTTTAGTTATACCATTTGCTTCCAGCAGAACATTTTGTGGTTTCAGATCTCTAATAATATCAATTATTATAATTCAATATTATAAGCCTTATTCTTTGTCTGTAATTAGAGATACAAACCTGTGCATTACTCGATTTGAATGTAAATAATAAAGCGCAGATACTAAATCACAAGCTATTACTTGTGCTCTTTCCTCAGACAATCTAACTTCCTTGGCCAGTATGTCATTCAATACCTTATCTACATATTCTGTTACAACCACAATCTAAATCAGATATTTTACAAACTCTCTAAAATATATTTTACTTATAAACATAATTTTTTTCAGATTCGACATACTTCATTTTCTGTTTCAAATGAATCTAACATTTGCACGATATTTGGATGTTGCAGATAACGTTGAATCTCGCACTCTTGACGCAAACTCTTGAGTTCCGAAGGTGATCTGCCACACTGCAAAATATATCAAGGTATTAGTCATGAAGCAGGACAAGTTATTTATAAATCTTACTTGTTTCATATAGCAAGTCAATGTACCTTCCTTATCATTTTAACAGCCACAAATTCACCATCTACACGCTTTCTAGCTTTATACACTTGTCCAAAAGATCCCTCACCAATGGGCTTCAAAATCTCATACCTTTTCATTTTGGAACTTTCATATTTCGTCATTTTGTGATGTATTAATAATGTAAAAAAAAGTTTGTTTTTTATTCTTATGCTATACTGTTAACTGTACTGCATTAGAACTTTCTTTCTCGCTTTGGCCAAATATCAAGCATACATTTATCTTACTTTAAGTTCCAAAAGTATACACTAGTTTAGCCACAGAAACAAATCTAAAAATATCAAAAAATGCGCTTTTTATCTTGATATTATGTGCGCATGCGATAAAACGGAAACTTCACGACACATTGACATGTGTCAAATATAAATGACCGAAACGTTAATTATATTATACGCATATAATGAAAGTGAGAATCAAAGAGAATTGGTGAGAACAAAATGAAACGAAAACGAGCTGTTTAGTTTGCAAAATGCAATAGTATAAAATGTAATGTAGCTCGTATCTTGAAAATATTTTCTGTATATATATACATAAAAAAAGAGAAACCTGAGAGCGGCCACATCCAACATTCAGGCCTTTCTTGTGATACACAGTGACACAGGACGGTGACTCTTGAAAGCTTTCGTCACTAACGGCACCAACATCATTTTTATAAAACAATGTGAACTACTATCACATTATCGATACTGTTGATAAAGTCGTAGTGTTGAAAAATTGATGCGAATCCGTGCTAAATTGAAAATTGATATGAAACGAATCCTGCTACATTTAAAAATTGCTACTGTAAAAGATAATATGCATATATAGCCAGAAAGCACAAAGTCGTCTAAAAAATGACTAAATTATTATAAAGAAAATTTTAAAATTATAAAAAAAATTATAAAAAAATTATATCTTTGAAAGAATATAAGCTGGTATTCACAGTCGATTCTTATAATTATGAAGTAGTGTTGATAATTTTTTTCTTCCAATAATTTCGAAAAATTATAGAAATCCTAGTTTTAAAAAGTAGCTCCTTACAGATTATATATTTTTAATTGGTGCATTTATACAATTTTATAATGTTACATCTAATTTGTTATTTAAACCTCTATTTATAGATTTTTGTAATATTTTCATGCAATACTCTAAGTTTTTCAATTTTTTAAAATCCAATGCCATACCTACAACCAAAAAACATTATTGAATGTGAGAAGGATAATATGTGAAAACTATAGTTATTTAATACTTGCATTCCATTTTTCTCCTCTGTTAATGTAGAGCCTTCTTGAGACTTTAACGTATTGTAATCAGCAGCATTGCTATGTCGCTTGATAAAAAGAATGAAACTTTTTATAAAGAAAACTGAATTAAAAATACATTATACACGAATATAATATATATTATAAATCCCTCATACTTATATATGATTTATTTTATGGTAAAAAAATATTTTTCAATAAGACACTTCTTTATAATCATCCCACAATCCCTATCGCCGCGTAACAAATTAATTATATGCTGTACAGTGTTAATTTAACGAGAATAAAAAATAGAATCGTCATGGAATATAATTTACACACACCATAATTTTTATAATTTTTTCTTACGATAAAACGTACTTGTTTCTAAACAAACTAAATTACCATGATATGACGAAGATAACATCAATTAATATAATTTTAATAATAAATGAAAATTTAAGATAAAAATATTACTTTCTGATGTATATATAGGATTGTCTTTTACAAGGATATTTCTCATAATGTTAATACGCAATATAAAATACTATTTAAATTTAATTCCATGAGAGACAAAACTTGTTGCAATAAAAGTTACACCAGCGATATGACTAATCGATCTAGGTTTCTCACTGGCAATTGCTATATTTATTCTTTTTTAAACAACGGTACCCTAATTCAATCTACTTACAAAGATGTCTCGAACGTGTTATTCACCATTGGATCTGTGAAAAGAATTCTAATACAACTGCGATACACGCTGGGTCAGTTTTAATGTAATTATTGTAGTTTACGCTGACGATAAAACATCAGTTCACGCTTGTAATTCGCTCGAGAAAGATGCAGCTGAAAGCTCAATGTCTTCGTGGCTTGTTCTCTCTAACATTGGTGCTTTTATTGCATAGTTGGTTTGTTACGAACGTTAATGCATATTCAGTGTAGCTTATTAATCCTTGGATAATAGGACCGCTACAAATGTTACGAAAATGATGTAGTTAAGAAGCTGCTAAAATTCGTTATGCTGGAGATTGCATTACAAATGATAATATCGAAGACATGCATTAAATTCGTTCGTATTGATGATATACAGAACTTTCAACAAAAAGTAGTTGGGTCAATATCACAGGTCATGATGTGGGTTACTTTGATATAGGATGTAACGTTTATGGGCCAAGTTTTCTAAATTTAAACGTGAAGGAATGCTTTCACACAGTGGACACTCAATATATGAAATATTACATACTTTAGGTGTATATCATGAACATATGAGACCAGATCGCGACGAGTACATCAACATAATATGGGAAAACAGATACACATAATATGAGAAAGGGTAATCAATACAGTATGTAAATTAATACTAAAAAAAGGGGATTAATAAATGATTCTTACAGAAGATGAATTCAACTTCGAGCTATTAAATAATAGTATCGTGACTAATTATAGATTACTATATGATTACGACAGTATAATGCACTATTCTATAACAGCGTTTTCTACTAATCGGTCACTTCCTACAATAATACCTAAGATAATATCAATTTTTGAATACAATATAAAAAATATTGTAAAAATTAAATAAAATTTTTAATACTTATATTTGATTCATTGTATTAATTGAATCAATAATAAAATTCTTTTTCTTACAGAATTTTTATGTGGAGATTGGTCAAAGAAATCATATTATGATGTACGAAAATTGCAAATTGCTTAACTGCATAACTGCAACTCTGTCAGTACTAATAAATTAAAAGAGGAACCTTTGAACAAATCTAAGAAACAAAAGAAACTTCCTAAGCGAAAGAAATTTCAAGATACAACAGTCGTTAAAACAAAAATAAATCACAAATGCAAGCATTATAAATAATTCAAACAAATTACATGACAAAAATCTAGAAAAGTCAATGGATAGATTTAACCAAATAGAGAGTTTTCTCTATTACTAAACTATTAATATATACTCTATTCAGTCCAATTATTATCCTATGCCCCTTACTCTAATATATCTATATATAAATTTTCACTTGTATTTGCACAAGAATCGAATACAATCTATGATAGAATAAATAAAATTTTTAAGTTAAAAAATGAGTTTCATTCAAGCTAATAAAATATATATATATACAACATTTCACAAAGCAAATTCTAATAGTGTAAGATTCGTATTATCATATTAATTATGATTATGGCTTCGAATACATGAATCATTAAATAAATTTCATTTTTCTCGTGATTTTCATAATTAGTTCACAGCTAGTATTCTTTATTTTTGTTTTTTCGCGCACGTTTATGATCACTATGCTTTGAATGTCTCTCTGATGATTTATCGCGATCTCCAGATTTATGTTTCTTTTCATGATATTTATTTTTGTGTTTGTCTTTGCTTTGATATTTGTCTTTTTTGTGCGACTTCTGTTCTCTCGAATGCGATGAAATTTCTGTATTTCTATGTTCATGCTTGTGCTTTCTGTCTGTTTCATCCAAATATCTTTTTTGTCTATCTCGTTCTCTTGATCGATGATAATTTCTTTCTTCTGAATGCTCTCTTTTTTTCTTGTGGTGATGACCATTTTTTTCTCTAGAATTATATTCATCATTGTTACGGGAAGAATGAAATACTTTGTATAAGCGTTCAGTTCTATCTTGTTCATAATTTAAATCATCTGTTTCGGTGTTGCGAACATCTGTTACATGTCCAGAATTACTTTGTTCAGAGACATAATCTACAAATATTTCCATTTGTTGATTAATCACTTCTCTGAGAATTTCAATATAAGATCTTTTGTTTGTATGAACGCCTTTATGCTTTACTCGACGCCTTTTCAAGTTTCGCTCTTGTATTAACAATTCCAAAAATGATAACTTTTTATCTTCTTTTTCTTGTGGCTCCCTAGAAAAACAATTTACGATATCCATAAATAATTAATATAAGAGTACATCATATATATTTACACATTAGCATAGACATCACATACATTAATTATAAATATTAGTTTAAATTTTAAAAACTCACAAATTATTAATATTTGTAATGTCTTCTCCAATGTCTGGCTTTGCGGTATTAGCGATGACGTAGTCATATAGTGCTTTTCTTTCATCGCTGGTGAAATCTATGACAATCCTATCAGATGTACGCGGTACTAACCGCTCACCCATACCTATTATCAGTGTTAAGAATTTATTTTTTTCATATAGTTGTAACAATACAATCATAAAAGATAAAACAATAAAAGTTTCTTGCTATTTTGAAGTAACAGTTGTACAGTTATTTTTCAATTATACTAAATAGAAAAATTATATGAACAATTATTAGATTACAAATGTCTTTGCAATATTGTGATTATAAAATATTAAATAAAGGATATGTAAAAGGATATATTGATTCTGCGCCACAAGTATAACAATCATAACTTGCTGGAAAAAATTTCATTATCATTTAAAAAATATACAAATGCATACAATCGCTATGATTTTAGAGAACTTGTTCTTGCAGTTGCTCATCTACAACAAACATTTCAGGGAGGTATAAGAAATTAATATAATTCTAATAGATTTAAAGTTCTCATCCTAGAGAAGTTTCTTACCAAACTTTATACAGAATGGTGAATCCTCTGGTAGAGTTGGTTCTGATAATGGGACATCTAGCTTTCCGTAACCTTCAGCTTTCCATTGACAAGAGACAAGATGATCATTGAGAGAGGCTTCTGTTAACCGGTGGGATGGATCATACGGACATATGAAATATTCCTTGTCCTACATAAATGCAATAGTTAAAAATAATATAGCCAAGAAAAAGATATCCAGGTTACTTACCACGTCCATTATGCTCTCCATTGTCCAACCTAACATTCCAACGATATTGGTAATTTCTTCGTTAATTGTATCAGTAAAGTTCTTCAGTTTCTCTAATTGTTGCTCACGAGAGTCGTTTATATTCTTTAACATATTCATTTCAATTCTGTCTCCCATGGGAAAATTTAAATAAACAATCAAATCATCATATAAAGTTAGAACTGTCGGAAGATAATTATTTTCTTGATAATTATTTAGTTTAATATTTTCTTGATAATTATTTAATTTAATATTTTTTTTGCTTCCCTAAGTAATAAACTTTCATGTACCTTCAATCCGTCCTTTCAAATTATATGGCACAAAGGTAAATTTTGATAATAATGTTGTATGTCGAATTAAGGTTAGAATACGCTTAACTAATCTCGTACGCTATGAAGAAAGATACATTTGTTGTTCATTATCGAACGGATAGAGACATCTATTGATGACTACATGAACTAACATGCTCTAAGTTTTGATTGGTCGCACCGTGATTTTAGAATGGCTGCATTCAGCAGAACACAACAGCTTTGCAACCGTTTTATGATTCTCTGCTGAGATAGGACCATTCCTCTTGATCTAAAAGCATGACCCAATCAGCGCGAAGAAAACTTCCAGTTACAAAATAAACGTTTTGCTAAACGCAGCCAATGACTAAAATGCAGCCTTAGACTGCATTTTCATACCGACGCTCGACGCTCGATTCGAGCATCAAAACGGGTCACGTGATTAAAATTGACAAATACCAAGCATCAATTTTGATCACGTGATCTGTTTTGACGCTGAAAATGAGCGTCAAGTGTTAGCATGAAAAAGCAGTCTAGAGTGAGTGTGATCATTGAAGTGAACTGCACGCGCCAATTTGACATTTCAAAATATCCCGCTTCTCTTATGTCTTATAAATTATATACGTAATTTTTCACGTATCAATCAGAATCTATGTAGAAAACATCGAATAAGATGCAGTTGATCACCGTTTGCTAAGAAACACGTAGGAACCATGTTCGATTGTTACTTATATTTCAAAGTATTCTTAATTTCGAGATTGCGCGCGCAGATTGGCCGAACGGTCGCCATAACAGTTTCATCTTTGATCAAAGTTGTATCGATTCTGGATCGTTGCATAAGTAATCGCGAATTTCGTCCGTCGAGAATGCACGACGTGCGCGAATTTCTATCGCGAATGTTGGGGAATGTCGACCAAACCAACGGGTTATCGCCAGAAGTTATTGGTTAATTCGCGTTAACACGGATTCTTGTGATCAGAGTTTTGTCGATCGTTTGATGTTACGCTGTGCTTTGTAAGAATTGTGATCAACGTATAATTTCAGTAAGCATGATTCCGTAAGGATTCCGACGGTATTTTAGATTGCGAAAATCCCTTATGTTCTATTCTTCCGAGAGATTTGAAGCGAAATATGATTTTTTTTTAATGTAACTTGTTGAACAATTAAGTCGTAGTAATATCACGTACGCCTGTTGCACCTAACGGAAAATTTACTGTTGAATATATAATATCATAGAATAATGTTCATTAATGTATTGTATGATATAACTATCAGTAGTATAAATGTGCAACAGTTCCGTCCAATGAATTTTGTGCGATTGTAGTATCATTGCACTGAAACAGATTTACTGAATTTTATTGAAAATTTGTTTGAATAATACTAACGAAATATTTACTATTAATGTAAACACATATTTATTTAATTTAAGTATAATTTTTTATTTTAAATATATATTTATTTACTGTAAAAGTAAATATTTCATTAGTAGTATTTAAATAAATATTTAATAAAATTTAGTAAATTTTTTTTGCTATGGATACAATACATTATATCATTGGAGATTTGTTTAGAAATACCATTCAAGTGCTTGTATCATTTTATAAATATTTAACATTTGGTGAGGATAAAAGGATAAAATAATAGGGCCACTCAAGTAGTGTTTCTGAATATACCTTAGATCGGTATTTATAATTCGTTTTTACTCCTAGACTGTCTTAAGTAATTTCATAATATGCTAATATATGCTATATGCTTTGTACTGGTTTTCATAGAGTTTATTTCATAAAGTTGGCTCATAGAGTTGGCTCTTACATTTTAGAATCATCTTAAGTACGGTCTTCAGATGTTATGAATCTATCAGAGAATCATTAGCATCTTAAGACATTATTTAAAACATGGTCTTAAAACAAGAACTATGCATATTGCTCATATCGTTCTTGTATTTAAGATCATCTTAAGTACAGTCTTAAGATGTCATAAGCTAATCCAGAGCTATATTAGCATCTTAAGACATTACTAAGATGATTTTGCATGATCTTAACATAAGAACCGATTATGAATATCAGTCTGTGATTGGCTTATGACATCTTAAGACTGTACTTAAGACAGTTTTAAATATAAGAATTGACTTTAAATACCGGCCTAGTGCAACAGTTCTGTCAAGAAACACTCGTGCAATCGTAGTATCATTGAACAATATTACTAGTAAACAAATAACAATTCCATCATGAAATTATCATGACTACAATATTATTTTCATAGGTTTTTATATAATAGATAGATTAAATACTTATATAAATTAAAGTATGTAGAATTTATATATCTCAAATATAAGCAATAATTTATATGTATGTAATTGATAGTATTTATGCCTACAGTAATTGATACTATTTGTGTATATAGTAATTAGCAGATCATTTAATACAATCATTTTGATTCACAGTTATCAGTTAGTTGCTTTATAGAAACGCAAAATCACTGTAGTTAATTGTTAATGCTGCCATTTTTATTTCTAAATTATATACATAAATTGAAATTTATGGTATTTTAAATATATATTTATAGCAATGTGGTTGCCATTACTTGTGCGATTATTACTGGTAGTTATTCACTAAATTAAAAGCGAAATTGTAGTTAATGTAGTATGATTTCATACCTAAATATATAAACTTTTCTTTTTATATTTTTAATATACTTAAAAACTTTTTTGCATTTTTTGAATATTTTTAAAGTTAAAAATTTTTATTTGCATTAAAAATGTGAAAAGAGAAAAACTTTTGAAATAAAATGGAATATATGACAGTTGGTTATAAATAGATCATTGTAGTTAATGCCAAAACAATACCAATAGTCAAAACAATTAGAAGTTATTTATTTTATCGCATTTGAATTAAGTTTTTTGTTAATGGAAGTAACTGTAGCGTTAAAATAAATACGTAATATCAAGAAAATTATTGAATGATAGGCTATCTATTGGATGAATATAGACGCAGCTAGCAGAGGTAAATTTTGAAGTTAGAAGTGCAATTTGGAGGCATTTACAATATTGAGATCTTATGTCCATATTCATAGTCAGGCCTTATATTTAAAGCTTCCTTAAATTTTTATCTTCAGATACTCTACGAATTATTTCATTGGCTACTGAGCATCTAAAGATAAATTTATTAAGGAAGCCTTAAGTACAAGGTCTGACTGAATGAATACAGGCAATAGACTCTTGTCTACTGTGTTGAATGGAATATCTTGCATCAGGTGGTTTGTGATAATAATATTAATTATAATTTGTGCACGGGCACGTGTCGCAGAATATAGAGAGAATTTTATTTTGCATTTCGCATATCACGTGGCAATATCATGATAGTGATTTTGATATTTTTTTCGAAAGTGAAGTGAATCAAGTTTTGGAGTTCGTTTAATGATAATTAAGTGCTCGTTTCTGGACTTGATTGTTTCCTCGATGGAGCTGTGCGGATCATTCCTGAGGTGGAATTTGCAATGGATGGAATAAATTGCGGTACCACTGCTAGTGAGTAAGATTAGTTATTTATTATATGTTTTATTATTTATTTTATATATATATATTGTACATAACTATAATTACATACATACATAATTGATATTATATATTGAATATTTAAAAAAATATTTTAGTATGTCTATTAAAAAAGATTGTTATATTCTATACGTAACATTTTTATTGAACATTTATTAAAATATTTAATCGCTGCAATATGTATTGAATTAGAGTTAAAAGGATTTTAATTGCATAATTAATTAAATTTCAAAAATTAACATCTAAAAATTTTTTAAATTACTATACATATATTTCTACTTTATTTTCTGAATTTCAAATGTCAATTTCTAATTCAAAATTTTTTAAAATTATATTTGAAAAAATTTTTCAATGAAGCATCAATAAACTTGTAAACGAAAAAATATTGAGATATGAATGACTAAACTGAAAAGTATTAAAATAAAAGATTTAATTAAAATTAACAAATAATAAATATATCATTTTTCAAATAATCTTATAAATTTTTGTATACATTCCATTGTATGTCATAGTCAATGTTAACTTTAATAAATATACATTGACTGCAGCAAACTATAGTAAGTGTATGTTATTTACTGGGTCAATACTGTGACATACATACACACACGCACGCACGCGCGCGCGCGCGCACACACACACACACACGCACACACACACACACACACACACACACACACACACACACACATACATTTTAGTTCAAATGATATTAATTAATTATATGATGATAAACATATTACATAAAATTGATTAATGCAAATTATAATAATTATAATGTATTCTTTTATTTGAGGATGTAGTATATAATTGATACTATTTGTACCAATACTAATATAGTATACTTAAGAATATGACTATAATCATTAGTGAGTGCTTATTTATTATATCAGCATATTATACGATACCATTAACATCTATCTTTTTAATGAAAAATTATTGTTGCTGTTATTGACTATATTATTAAAGATCGCTTTTGCGTTTAATTAAACTTTGACGATTACATTTTCCTTTACGACTTGCATTTCTACGTATAAATATCTAATAAAATAATCAGTCAATGTTAACTTGATTAAAAAACTCCAACAATGTGGAAGTTCTAGGCGCTCGTCTATTACATTTAATGGAAAATCCACTGTATTTGCTATTTCTTTCACCTGTATAACGGTCTCCGAAATGTTCAGAGAGGTTGTTTGCATTTCAACAAATGGCATAGCAAAAGAATCAACGCAAAAGCAGGATAACATCGAGTGAATAGCGTGCAAACGTTGCAATCCCGATGAATTCATGAAACGCTGCTTCGAGTCAACAGTGTGTTTCAACGACTGCTTTAATTAAAGTCAAATTATGCAAGGAAACGTACGTGCTACGAACACTCAAATGTGCATTCGAAAGAATATCAGATTCAGTTCATGTAACTTTCCGATGATCAGAAAAGTGCTTATTAGAAGCCGCTATTATCAGCATATAATCTTCTTTTGATTTATCTTTTGTTGAATATAGCTTAATAACTTCAATCGACATTGTAGCAACGAATATC